TGGTTAATAAATAGCAATTAACGATATAATAACTACCAAATTTGTTCTACTATTTAATGCAAAACTATCTCTTGTCCTCTAAAATCTCTTATGTGCTAATATTATTTTTGAATGCTTGAATGTAGTATAATATATTATAGTAATATATAATAGTTGTTCGGTCGATGGTTTTTGCGGCTGATAGCGGGCTCATGCTGTTTTGTTGTGAGAGAAAAAACATTGTACTATGACTGATAAGTCAGGCTGATAAGTTCAAGCGAATAGGGCGAATCGCTGTACCATAACTGATAAGCCAGGAGAGAGAGAGAGAGAGAGAGAGAGAGAGAGAGAGAGAGAGAGAGAGTATTATTTACTGATGTTTTGGCAAGTAAAAGGCTAATGCTTGCTCACAAGGGCAGTCTAGGGAAAAAAATCAAATGCCTCATTTCTGCAACCTTCCACCTTCCACATTCGCATGGCTACAAAGTTCACAAACAGAAAGCACTAGCGGATGGTAAAACAATAGTTTCCCCCCTCCCACAAAATCCTACCATCTATTGGCCAAGGGCAAAACGTAGTGTTTGCAGGAATTATGCCATATTATAGCTACTAGCTCATCCATGTATTCAAAAAAGGGGCTAGAAAAATTTAGCCAGCAAACAATCGGTTGTACCTATTAGACTACTAATACTCCGTAAATCAGTTTTGACTCATCCAAACAAATCTTATGTCTATAATATATAGGGAGTGTGCAAGTAGTTGCACTACTATGAGTATGACAGGCCTATGCTGCCACTCAAATATTGTGTGCATCGAGACCTAGTCATCTAGGCAGCCAATTATAGTATAGGGGCAACAGCAGTAAGCAAAGAGATCATGGAGGATAACAGATGGTGTTGGCCCTCAAGGCCTCAAAGCCCATGCCACGATGATAGTGAGGCAATAGCTTAGACACTAGCTTAGGGGATGTAGATATTTGGTTGGTACATTGAGAAGTTGCTTGAGCCAAACAACCACTCTCCGACGTTCGATCTCATCAATTTGGAGTTGAGATCCATGGCTGGCTATTCTCTGCTTTTAGCAATAAACCATCCTTAGAGCATCTCCAACAGATTACTTATCTTATCTCTAATACTAAGTAACTACTTTAAATACACCTCTCTCCTTCAAATGTAGGTGATCTAGTCCCTCTCCTCTATCCACTTTAAAGATTGGGAGAGAAGAAGAAAAGCTACGGTATTAACAATAAGAGATCAACTACGGAGTATATAGCTAGATTTTTAGGGGCAGGTATTTTCTCTTGTTTCAGGTCCAGGCAACATGGGCAAGTACGGGGATGTCGAGGGACGCGGTGTGTGGACCTGAGGCGTTGAAGATTTGCCCATGTTGCTCGAGGAGGAAACGGCGAAGTGGCGACCAAGGAAACGAGCCCATGTTCCCTATTTCCATTACACTGCTATCATAGTTTTTTTTTTTTTTGTGCGTAAACAAAGGGGAGAGAAGAGTATGCCCACGAGCACGACACTTTTGTTTGACGAAACACAAGGAATCGCATCGGGCGCGATGACCAAACCGCGTTGCAACGTGGCTTTGGCTTTGGGTCGGGTGCGCAGGCAGCAAAAACAAAAGGGACTTTGGCTTGCGCTTGCCACGGCGACGGCGACGGCGTCACCAACTCCACCCAGCGCATCGCATGCAACCTGACTGACCCAGTCAGTCAGTCTCAGTCACCCAGCGCTTTTTTGCCCCGTAGTCCCGTGCGTGATTGATCACTAGGAGGAGTACTCATCACTCGCGCAGCCCACCTCCTCCTCCCCCGCGTCCGCTTTTTTGGCCGGGCACCGACGCCCGCCCGCAGGCACGCCGGGACCAGACCGCACAGGAGAGGAGGGGAGCCCGGCCCGCCAAAAATAGCAGGGGCAGGGGCCGCAGGCGCCGCGACCGATGGGCGTCAAGCAGGTCCTCGTCCGCCCCCGCTACGGCGACGGCGACGGCGACGACGACGACGGCAGCAGCAGCAGCGCCGGCCGATGCGATGATGAGGCGGTGGACCAGTCGCCGTCGCCGCCGCCCATGTCGTCCTGCGGACGCTACCTCCTCCACCGGGTCTGCAGGTTCGACACACTCGCCGGCGTCGCCATCAAGTACGGCGTCGAGGTCGGTAACGCCATTCCATTCTCTCGCCATCTTCTTCCTCTCTCTCTCGTCCGCCGATCCATCCCTCGGTCCTAGTCCGTTTCTGGGTGGCGGCGAGGTCAGGCCAACGTCTGACCTGACTCATCTCCTCCTCCGCCGATGCCGCGTTGATTGCCTGCCTCTCCCTGTGCCTGCTCTGCTCCAGGTGGCCGACGTGAAGCGCGCCAACGGCCTCACCACCGACCTGCAGATGTTCGCGCACAAGACGCTGCGGGTCCCGCTCCACGGGAGGCACGCGCCCGCCACCGCGCAGTCTCCTCCCTCCTCTTCCCCGAGCCACGCCGATCGCGCCGCCAGGTTCATATCCTCCTCTCTCTCTCTCTCTCTCTCTCTCTCTTCCACGCACAACCATCATAACAGAACACCGCGTCCTTAATTTCGTCTTCCATCTATTTACTTGATTGCATTTACATTACATGCCAACCAATCACACCTTTCATCACCTGTGTGACTTGTGCTATGCAATACAAATACCATTTTGCCAGATTCATTAAAAATCGTTTATTTCTTCTCTTCTCTGATAAAGTGGTTGCATCGAAACACAACAGCAGTACTCCATTCCATGGCATTGCATTGCCAGGGCATCTCTTGATCCTCGCATAGTTACATGCGTTCTATCCACTCGACTTTGTCAACAAGTCGGGCCAATTCTGGCTGAATTTTGACTTTGTGCTCGCTCGCCATTCTTGCTTCCTGGATGCGTAATTGGCTAATTGCGTATACAAGTAGAGTACATGATTTGGTTTCGCAATAATGGTCCATTTCCACAATGTTTACAAGTCAAATCACTGGCCTCGAGGATGGCAGGTTTGGCCACACACCGTTGAGAACCGGTGAGGTTGGCAGTGTTCCACCGGTGTGAAACCGACTGCCCCCTCCACGATTCACACTTTCACACTCACAGACACAGTGGCCTTGAGTGTGTTGAGCACTAACCTGACGCCTAGCGGCAGCTAGGCTGTGTTTTTGCTCCTACACTTCCAAAGGTCTCTCTGCCACCTGTGTTCAAATGATACACAACATCCAAAGAGAAACCATGAGGAGGGAAGATGATGCACTCCTGCCTGGCAATAGATATGCAGCAGCCTCCACATGCTCTCGCTCTCTAGTCTCTACATCACTGCACACACTTTATTCTTGACAGATACACATACACCTCTAGAACCTTGAACTCTTGCAGAAACATTAGAGAACAGTCCATACACAAAATACAGAAGTATTTTTCTTTTTGTTTTATTCTTGAGGGATTTTGATGTAGAAGGACAGCATACTTATATTATTTAATGGATGCTCCACTATTTAGATTCTTAGTACCTCCACCCCTAGATGTCACTGCATATGCTGTTGCCTCTAATAGTTTAATGGCGCTACCATGTGATGCCTTTTCACAATGCTGACTAAATAGTCTGCAGTGTCGGTGCTCCTCTTGGCTAGGTACGCTTCATGCTTTATATCCACAGTAACAATATTGGTTTCTTTCAGAGAATGGACTACACGTCGCCCTCCCAAAATTGCTGCTTCCTCGGACCCATTTCTTAAACCACCACGGAGCACAGTTTCGCCATCAATGAGACTTCTGCAGGGATACTATGGCCTTACACCAACTCCAAAGGGGAACCTAACCAATGAAGGCACTGAAATGGCGACGTACGCTAAAGGTAAATCCTGTTAATGTCATTTGCTTGGGTTACGATTCCTGCTCTATTGCCTGTTGGTCCACTGAATTTCTGAACTTTGCACCCTGGATGGCCACCTCCAGGTCATCATAGGAAAGCTAGAAGCTTATCAAGCAACTTCTCTCTTGAAAATGGAGATGGCCCTCGGGAGATGGACGATGCTGAAAAGCCCATAAGGCGGCGCCAGAAAACTGATGGTGAGTTGACAGCTAGGGAGGACAATGGCGGTAGCATGTTGGCGAGGTCTGGGCAAGGCTTGGCCCTTAGGCCAAAATCTGGCAGTCGACCAGACATGAACGGCAGCCAGCAAGATCTCTTGGCTACGTGGGTGCCCTCGTATGGGGATGGGTTGCACACTGTGAAGAAATCATCGAGCACTCCAGAGTTTCAGGATTCAGACAGCATCAGCATTGCTTCTGTATGGCTGAAGAGCAAGTGGAACTTGAAACCGGATGCTTTCACCCTCACGCTTCCTCTCCCGCTGTTTGACGGCATCTCCAAGCCTCTCTTCGACAGCATCCCGAAGCCTCTCCTCGACAACATTCCGAACTCGATCGCTGCTTGGAGAAACAAGGCGGCCAAAGATTAGCAAAGGTTCATAGCTTCGTTTTTATACTTATCGCTTGTTCTTGGGTAATTTAGTGCAGTTGCGGGAAGAAGGGCCTGGAGAAGTTGGCTTGCACTGTACCACCCCAGTCCCCCACGCCAAAAAGAAGGCACGAACGGTTGGACACCGTAAACACAGACAGTGCTGAAACGGCATGATGGATACAGTGACACATTGCTTACACATACATACTGTACTGAATCTGCTGTGCCAAAGCAGCAGCAGATGATTTCTAAGTTGGGAGCTGGGACATGAGCCTGGGGCTTTATTTCAGCCTTCGTGGGGTATTCTTTTTCTTTTTTGTATGTACACATATATAGGAATGAAGGCAAACGCCAAGCACGTGTGCTGTTCCCATGTGCTAATAAAGAAATGGCTTGTTCATCCCTCCACACTGGCAGCTGTGGTTTCAGCCTTTTTTCATTTACATTCATACGACATTGATATGTATGCGAATGAAGCAATAGTGCACAGGGCATTTTTATTTGGGAATACAGTCAAACTACAGTATGAATTACTGAAATACATATTTGGGAATACAGTCATACTACGGTATGAATTACTGGAAATACAATGGTGTACATCTCGAATTGGAACGGTGTAAGAGTCTTCGTGTACCACTGTCGTTCCTTGGATAAACGAAGCAGACACCGTTCAGACAGGACGCACAGAACCGAACGATTGTGGCATCGCGCGTGGGTCTGACTGCTCACTACACGTTTATAGTTGAGTATTGCTGAAATCTTGAAACAAAAACGCATAGAAAAGTTAACTGTAGCTGGGATTTAAATAACTCGAGTTACAACAATCATCTTGGCTCTTAAGTGCTGGCAAAGAGTTTGATTAAGGACAGAACAAGAGGGTTTCATCTCATTCTACAGCAGGGAGAAAAAGATTCAGAATAGGAATCTACCATTAATGATACATATTTTAGCTGACTCAGTTCTTACGTTACCCTTACATCACCTAAAACTAACTAGTCATTGACAACAATAAAAGCCACTTGGAAAGAGTCTTGAGTCTTCATTGGGCAACATGGCAAGGCAAGCTGTTGTACACAAGGAACCCTTTGGCAACAAAAGCATATTATTGGTTGTACATATTCCCCTGCTTCAAGGGCACTTCCTTTGAATATAGGAAACCCCATGCTCTTCATACCTGGCGCGAGATACATGGCACGGCTTATCAGGTATCCAGGGCAAGTATAGAAAACTGAGGGCCTATAAAATATCAAGCTTACTCTGCTTTGGAGAACCACATTTGCTGGAACGACCCAAGGGATGCAAGAATGCTCCCTCCAATCCAAACACTGCATATGAATTCCAACAAATCAGCCATGCCATTTCTAAGTAGCAGTAGGTTATTTGCCAATAACCTACTCTGTCCATTCCAATTATAAGATGTGTTGGCTTTTTTCTAGATACATTGCTTTTATTATGTATCTAGACATAGTATATATCTAGATGCATAGCAAAAGCTATGTATCTACAAAAGCCAAAACGTCTTATAGTTTGGATTGCAGGGAGTAACAACTAAGAAGTAATATAGACACATAGTAGTCTAACCTGAATCGTCTCTCTACTGAGTTTCCGCTTGCCATAACCTTAACACGAGCAGCTTGAGGAGACTCCTGTAGTAATTCAATGTGGAAATAATAACCAGCATTAAAAATGAGTAAAGAGTGTGTTCACCATTTCTAACCAACATGAACAAAGAGAAATGTTTCATAACTATCAACAAAGATCACAAAATAGGGAAAACATGTGAACTAATATGAAATACTCCCACCATATCCAATTGTAGGCACCGAGCTACCATACTCTCCAATATAATTTATTAATCATTAAGTTTGTAATAGTTCCATAGTGGGAATTATTAAATTATATTGAAATAAAATTTTAAAGCACCTTATATGGTTTCAGTTTAATACAAACCAAGATAATACAAGTATGTACTATAGTGGTTAAAGAGCTAAAAATGTTTGTACCTCTAATACTTCTTTCTCTAGGCGCTCCTTCAACTGCAGAATTGATGATGAGCCACCAGAAAGCTATACAGAATAAAAGTTTGAAGATGTTAGAATAGCATAGCAAAAGGATGTTGCTGAAGGAACTAAAATCACTTGCACATGCTACCATGCATGATACGTGTGTAGTAGTAAAATGGTCTGGAAGTCATGTCTTTACCAAGATATTGCTAAATAGCTCTTTTCGTATGTCAATGTCACACTTATTTACACTATCAATGACCTGGGTAGAAACAAATTATCAGCAACTTTAGCTATATATATGAAGAACTGCCATGCTGCCTGCAATGCAGAACAGTATGGACTTCATTCAACTCACCATTCGTTGAAGGCCACGGACTGATGTTGAATCTGCAAATCCATCAATCCCAGGAATAGTCTGTTGGTCAGAAAAATGTGTGAATGAAGGCTGAGATATAAGGTGAGAAAAGCAAGTCTGATGAGTTCAAACAATTCTCTAAACCACTGCTAACATACACTAAAGAAGAAAGCAATGCACTAGGGGGGTTTCGCACAATAACATGATCCATTACAAAAACCAGTGGAGTAAAAAAACAGCACCAGAACAAGTTCAGGGATTACAACCTACAAATTATTCAAACCAGTAGTACTACAGACCCCTTTCCAAACTACTCACCTGGGATAGAGATGGATTAAATAGAATATCAGGAACCTTGAATCTATCAGCACCAACTTCAATAGTTCTGCTCAAATATAAGATAAGTTAAGAATCCCATAAACAGAACATGTCAAAGAAAAGAAACAGAAGATTAAATACAAGAGCAGTGGAAAAGATGGGATATGCATTGCATCCACCCTCTCAAGTCTCAATGCATCTGCAAATCCCACCTCAAAGACTATGTAATTTATCATAAAAAATCCAATTTGGATCCTAGGTTATGAGATGATCCACCAATTTGCAAATGTTACGTGTATTATGATAGATACATATAATAAAATTCAGTAAACAGTAACTTGTCCTTATTGATCCTCAGTCTCGAAACCCAATTCATCAGATGTTGAGTTAAATTTGTTTTGTAGCATGATAAACTAGTTTTTATCAAAATTATTCAGTCAGAGTTCCTCATGATCCATTTTTATGCCAGACAGAGATGGGTGCACAGATGCACCGATAGTTTAGGTGTGATGAATAAGCCCACAAAGGTAAAGTAACACATCTTCTTGACAGGGATGGATTAAATAACAAGAAAATAGGTACTCATGGCTAAAGTCCAACTTACTGTCCATCAGGAAGCTCATATGAAGTCGTAGGAACATTTGCATATGCCACTTCTGCATGAAAAATAGAGCTGGGAAATTAAGTGCTATAACATAACAGCAAATGTAAAGAAAGAAAAAGGTTTAAAACCACAAGTCAATGAAACAAAATATACTTTACATTGCATTCAAGGTACACATCAAAAGAAGCCAAAGGAATATTGAATTTACAATGGAAACACCACCAAAGATAACTGCTACATAAATATTACAGTTAGAACAAATAGTATACCATCAAAAGCGGTGTCTGGAACTCTGCAAACAGACTCCTTGATGTCACTAGCAATAGCTCTCTGTAATACAACAGATCATCACTGAAACCATAAAAAAAAAGTTTCAACAGCGTACAGCAAAAATTACAGCTTTGTAAATGAACATACCATGCGGTACAACCTGTAACTCTCAGTTGTGTTTGGAAGATCAAGATCTACAATCTGAAACAAGGACAAACATAAAGTCACATAAAAAGTACATGTTTGGCTGTAATCTCAAGAGCATTACAGGACAACGCTCGGTATTGCAAAGAGGCATAGTGCAAACTTTTTTGTAGTATAGGTGTAAAGATAAGCAAATGCAGCAATCAAATGAACAAGACATTATACATAATCATGAATAACACATTAATAGACTAAGACCCATAGAATGCGAGAACGAGTAGTAAGAAAATCACCACAGAATTTGCAAATGGCCCCAATTGCAAAGAACAGAAACTAAAATAGAACTAAAATAATCACACATAACCCCAACTCAACTTGAGCGATACACCAGAGAGAAGAAAAAGGGTCTGTACCCAGAACTTCAAACCAACGCTTCTACTTGGATTTGCTGACAGTGTGGTTACTGGCTACCAGGTATGAAACGAGTTCCTAATTGAAAGAATACGAGGCTGATATTTCTGAACCATATAGTTGGAATAACACCTAATTTGAGCTGTTAATGAAATCGGAAAATAAAAAAGCCTGTGTTTGTTTCCAGCTATCTCATTTTTTGCATTGGTTGTATCATAACTATGAAAACAAGCCCATAAAGTCTTCCTTTTTTTCTCGAACCAGCAGGAGACCAGCCCGTCATTATATTAAGAACAAAGTACAATACAAGCCCAGCAGGGCCTTAACACACACCAGAAAAAACAAAGTAACAAACACAAAGTGCAAGCCCCTAAAGTCTTGCTAAAGTATTTCAAGCATGTTGGCAGATCAGCTTACATGTGACATAGTAATATTATGTATCAATAAATGGGTACGATTCAGTGGTATGGTGAGTTTTCCCTTGTTTTGAAAGAAAGCAGACAGAAACGGTTTAAATATCAAACATAGTTTTACAAAGAAATAGCACCTTATAATCTCCGGGACTGATTTCCTTCTTCTTAAATGAATATCTGGGCCTAATCTGGATAGTGAACAAACAGGAGTGAACAGGCAGCAAAAAAACTAGTATTAAATGACAGGCAAGATTGCAAGAGACAAGCTTACGACAACGCCCTTGCTCTCCAAGCTTTTCATCATACAGTCAGTTAAAAATTCACCGCCAACTGGAGAAGTCGCCACAGACTGCAATCACAAATCATGTTTGTGTATGTATCAGATAAGAATATAAGATTGAAGCATTGTTAAATACTAGATAAGCACTGGTTGTTTACATTTTCTAATGACTGAACAAAAAGCAAGAGAAGTAATAACTAGACACATAAAGTATTGCATCATACATTTTCCTCTTACAGAGAGTTATCAGCCTATCACATATTGTAACGCCCCAGAGTCCAAACGGCTTAGATCCACTCTGCACGCTGAGCGAACCACACCTTCCACCATCCCACTTACGCTTTCGTCCTCGCTTCGCGTAAAAGGATTAACCCGGGGATGGTGAGATGGACTCTAGAAGCCTTATATGTTGATCTATCCCACCTTTAACAAACAAGGTGGGACTAAACTCTCCACAATATCTCATTAACATGCACATGGGCCTCTATGGGCCAAATTCCAAATTGGGCCGGATGTGACACATATGAAAAGTATAACGTACCTTTTGCAAAACAAAACCATCATGCACAGCAGAAACCACAGTAGACCCACCACCACTGCACCAAAAATGGCCACATTATCATATTCCAGTTATGTTTCTCATGAAGAAGTCCCAAAAGCCATCAGGAATAAGACAAACTGAACCAATAGTAATATCGTTACACCAGTAGAGTCCCAAACAATGCTCAACCAAAAATGTTAAATAGTTGGCCACCACCCTTTTAGATGGCTAAACGGGCTAGACCGCTTATTAACAAGCATGGCTGGCCAATGTGTAGCATTTAGGGCCCGTTTCGCACAGCTCTAGATCCGAGGTCTATGTCGGATCTATAGTTTGTAGACTAAATTAAAGTGGTTTAAATATTTTTATTTAACCCAAAAGATAAAATGAGTCATGTAAATGCACTTAACATGCCTGCAACACTAGATCTACGATTTCCTAGAGCTGCAGGTGACCAGCTCTAGGAAATCCTAGCTAGAGCTCTGCCAAACCGGACCTAAACAGGCTAAATGCTGCTAAGCCGAAAAGTGGTCCCAAAACAAATGGCCGACTTAAAAAATTGAGACAGTCCAAAATTATAAAATACTCCCTCTGTCCATTTATCGGCATCATTTTAGCCTCCGACGCGATGACCAAGGAGCACCAAAGCCACGCCGATTTGCAATTAATCGCTGCGCTGTTGTTTACTCTCCGGCGTCTGGTCCACTTCCCGATTAATCCCGCGCTCACGTCGCTGAAAACACCGTTATCACGGCCATAATCGCGCGCTCAAGTAGGAAGGCACGCGCGGCCGCGGAAGCTAATTTCTGCATACAGGGACCGCGCGCTCATGCATCCTGTGTTCGCACGCCGTGACGGACGTTCCATCAGATGCCTTCCATGCCAAAAATTTCGCCACCAGAGAAAAAATAGGCAACATATCAACTTGCAGAAATTAGGCAACAGCGGCCGTGATGGAAACTAATTTCTGCATGCACCAGAGATAAAATAGAAGGCAACAGAGCTAAGCGGCGGCGTGGTGCGTAACGCCGCGAGACTTGCAGTACGTGAGGGCGAGAAAACGGAGCGGACGGAGTCGTATACGAGGATAACGGGAGTGCGGCATCGTAGTAACTCCGCATGGCATACGAGGCGCCCCCGCACAACAACCCGAAAAAAACCAGGAGGGGCCAGCTTATAGATGATGCCGACTCCTGGAAAACGCGATTTTGCTCAAACAACGCCGATAAATGGACGGAGGGAGTAACAGAGATGGCTACACCTAAAAGCTCAAAACCAACAATCAACTAGCACGTTAAACCAATATGAAAATCATGATAAGGGCATAGAACGGTATAGAATCTGTTGTTACAAAACAAGAGCAAGAGCATCAACTTTCAGTTTCTCAAATTATTTTATTTGCATGGAGTGGATGATGGACTAATAGTACCTGTGCAACTGCGCCTAACTAATGATGCAAATATAGTTTGTATATTCTATATTAAATAAAGAGGAAGAAAAAATGGAAGCAGACAGCAAAGGAAGATGCATTCATTCATGAATTCACCAATCTAACATGAGCAAAGGGAGCTATTGTTTCATATGAGAAAAAGTATCTGCTTAGTGGAATGAAACGAAGCAAATGGTCACCTGTCAACCACCAAAGATGTAGCTCGTCCAGATGCAAAAGATGTGAGCACCTGATAGCACAATCAACAATCAAAAAATAACAAAATAATTGCAACAGGAATTGATCATGACAGAGGCATACTGCATTTTTTGCTAGGAACAGCGCTGGCACTTTGTAGTTCTCAAACATAAGTTCAGCTGCTCTATGAAAACATGCAAAACAACAGTCAGACATGAAGGTATTAAGCCTTTCTGGAGTCATAAGGAAAGATTGTATAGCAATTCATTACAAACATAATTTTGGATATACTATAACAAATCCATTAGCAAATCATATCAAGGAGAAAATTAGAACCCTTCTGCCTTGAAATAGCATGACATTACAACTAGTAGAGTAAGCAAATGACAGATATGCAATGTTCAACAAGGCGAGATTCCACGGTCACCTAGGCGTGACTAGGCGCTTGGGCGGAGGGGTACCGCCTCGCCTAGGGGTGTAGGCGGATGTTGGGCAGCGGAGGAGGAAGGGAGCAGCGAGCGGAGGTCACCGGTGGGGGAGGAGGAGCGGCAGCGGCGGGCGGAGGTCGCCAGTGGGGGAGGAGGGGCAGGTGGCGGGCCCGTGCGTGTGCGGGCAGCGCGCCGACCAGAGAAGGCTGAGAGAGAGAGGTGCGGGAGAGGATCCAGTGGCGGCGGCGGCGGCGGCGGCTGTGCGGCATCAGGACTGCGGGAGAGACCGAGCAGAAGAGAAAGAAGATTGGAAACTTTGGGCTTTGGGCTGTTTTCAGAGGAGAAAGAAGGGATAAGGTGCTAGGGGACTTGGGCTTTGGGCCGTTTTCTGTTGTAAGGGCCTTTCTCTTTAGTGAAGTCCACTTATCTCCTGTTTTCTTTTTCTTTTTTTCAACATATATGTGTGTATTAGCCACCGCCTAGAAAACGCCTAGGCGCGCTTAGGCACGCCTAGGCGCTAGGCGACGGGTCTCCGCCTAGAAACCGACTAGCGCCTAGAAAAACATTGCAGATATGCCTACAGGACTATTCAAAAAAAAACAGCCTTAGAGTCCCAAGCAATTTGGCGTAGGCTAGAGATGAAACCCAAAAATGAGACAACACAAGAAGGAAAAACTCGAATTAAATACAAAATATATACATATAAAAGGCATAATGATAGTAATATTTGCAGTCAAATCGATAATAGCAAATAGAAAAATCAGGCCCTGGTTAATAGAACTGTCTGTCATGAGTTCATGACTGTAAACAAATAGGAAACCAGTAGTACTGCTCTATGACTCAAAGCTATGAAAACAAGACATATTAAATACAAAGCATGCACATACTTCTCTCTTTGCTGTGCAGTGTTTGTAGATGGTTCAGCTATGAGCATGGGATGCTCTTCAGGATTGATCAACAACCTCCGTCTGAAATGTGGAACCACGCCAGAAATAAGTGTCTTGTACATATTACAGAACCACGCCAGAAATTGAAAATCCTAATTTAACTAAAATTGGCTTATGGAGAAATACTACCATCCACATCAATTAAATCAAGCCAGAAAGTAACAAATTGTATCTGATAAGCAAACATAGCAGGAGATTTCACAATCAACATACGCTACTAGTACACTGAGGCAGGTTAACAGAAAGTACCAAGAGTAAAGCATTAACAATGTTTAGATTCAAATAATACCCTAGAATACGACCCCAATAGCCAATTCATCACAATTTAAAGAGCAGAAACCTCTCAGGAACACATCAAATAGATAACAAAATTCACCTGAAAGCATGATTCCATATATTATCAACAATATCCCAATCAGTTACCGTTCCATCTTTCATAGGTGAAATCACCTGCATGGGTAGTAGGAGATAGACCATCAATAAAACATAGTTAACAAAATTATGGTATCAAAGTTAATTCTGAGTATGTGCAGATACTAACCTCCATGTGATCCCTCCTGAACTCTAACTCTTGGCCTACATAAAGTTTGCGTTTTGTCTTGGCTTTGTCCACATCCATAGGCTTGGCCCCATTCTTAGAATCTGATGCAGAGTCAGCTTCCTTATCTGGCTTGGGGTCATCTGTGTCTTCAGTTTGTTCAATTGAACCAACGACCTAAACATGTCGAAAGGCACGGTAAGAATTTGTTATAGGTAGCTCACAACACAACAGAATTTATAAACCATGACAACTGTGCTGAATTAGATATTAGATAGTCAACTCCAAAACCTTCTTTACTGATGCTAGTAAGACATAATTCCTTGTACAACATGGTAAACCCTTAACTTTGCGAGTTACATGCGCTGTCAAGTGAAGTGGTAGTCTGTCATGTTTGAACCCGGAATTTGGTGCCAGCAACCATTTTTTTAGAGTGGGCAACCTAAAATGCTTCAGGAAATCAAAGCCAGAGCGCCAACTCGCCAGTGCAATACAAGTTTTCCAGAAGGGCATTTCACCCCTAACAGCTTATTACAGACACCGCAGAAGTGTCCACGTTGTGACCAAAAAAAGAGAAGCTCGGGAACGACGCTAGAACAGGGCGGGTTTGGAAGCAGCAAAGGAGCATTTGTCTCACCGACGGGAAGACGGCCTTGGGGGTGTCGTCTCCGGCGTAGCCCGCCTTGCAGCTGTAGGAACCCACATCTATGACGATTGCCGAAACCTCGTCTGCGGAGGCAGAAGCGTGAGATCTCCAGGGGTTTAGGGTTTAGCGGGGGCAGGAGTGGGCTGGGGAAGGGTGAGAGAGCTTACCTCCGCCGTACATGGCTGGAGATCCAGGGAGGGCGGCAGCCGTGGGGTGGCGAGGCGGGGGACGCAAACCCTAGCTCGCCGGAGACGGACGGGGCGAGGGAGAGGATGGGGGGAGGGGGGCGGAGCGAGAGGGGTTTTGCTTCACGTGTTTGGGCTCGACTTGGCGGCCGTGCACCTTTACCCGCTCTATGGTGTGGCCCGCCTGTCACCAGGTGATGCCGAAGAGCGGGAGATTCCTCTCCTCGACTATGGAATTCTACCGTGTCAGTCATCATCATCTGAGAAAAAAAAAACGTGGCTCAAGTTTGGGTCAGTTCGGATGTTCGACTCTAACCAAGAGGACTAAAATTAATTATAAAACTAATTATACAGCAGTAGATTAATTAGCAAGATGAATCTATTAAACCTAATTAATATATGATTAGTATATGTTTACCGTAGCACCACATTGTCAAATCATGGACTAATTAGGCTTAATAGATTCTTCTCGTAAATTAGTCTCAATCTATATAATTAGTTTTATAATTAGTCTAGATTTAATACTTTAAATTACTATCAAACATTCGATGTGACATGGACTAATTTTTAGTTAAAAAAACAAACACCTAGTGAGAGCAACTCGATCATCTTTCCTCTTTCTCTTAATAGTACTCAACGATTGAGAATCTACATTACAGGAGATAGAGAAGATGGATTACAATAAAGGGAAAAAATCCATTGGCCCTTTTCATCATTGAAACCCTCTTTCTTTGAAGCTAAGCTACGTGGCGAAACATATTTAGGACGCGACGCCTTGGGCGACGGCTCGTGACATTGGCTCAGCTCTGTTGCTCCACATGCTTTTATAATAGATGCAGGTCACTCAATAATGATACATTATATCTATGTGCACACCTATGGATCTCTCCTTCTTTTCGGTGCTCCTCTTCCACCTCCCTCGTGATGACCGGTGGTGGTGGTGGTGTATACGCCCATGGTTGGTTGCTTCTTGTTCAGCTTCTTACTACCCATCCATGGGCGGCGGTGTTCTCTTCTTCAACTTTGTGCTCTCTGCCCATCTTCGTCTGACCCATGGATACAACTTTGCTTCCTCTCCATTGTTTGGGCCCATGAGCAAGGTGAAATCGACCCCAATCTTCTTTTTGTGGTGCTTCTTGAAGTTCTTAGGGTTTCTCGTTCGCATTCTTGTTCATGATCCGTTAGGGTTTCATACTTGTTATAACGCTTCATGCTCCTAATAAGGTTACTTGTACCTTCTTGTTCTTGATTCTTGATGGGATCGTGATCCGTTAGGGTTGTTGATCTATTTGAGATTTGTATTATACCTTCTTTGTTCATTGTTTGACGTTGTTAGTGTTATTTGTACCTTCTTTGTTCTTGATCTATTAGGGATGTTGATCTGCATTTTTTTGATTACTATTGTTAGTTTTGTTCCATCATTGGTCGATGATGTTGTCCAAATTTAACACCGTTCTTGGGAGGCATCACATACAAGATGATCGTGCTTTTGTTCATATGCATTCATTTCACATTCATGTTGATATTTTAAAGGTACATTTAACCTCAATAGGCCAAAAGATGAAATTATGTTACATTTTTATATGCTTGTAGATGGATCTGTCTTTGAGCCATGACATGATGTGTGTACATTGTCTTGACTATTGTTATGGTTTCCTTTGTATCCACTAAATTTGAAAAGGAAAACCCCTGAACTGAAACCCCTTTGCTGATCCATATAGCACTAATACGATTAGAGATGAAAATGAAGCAACATTTACAGACAGAGAACACTAAGAATGATATACAACTCCAACGATTGAGTGTATTTCTATGATTAGGATGAAGAGAGCTATTTTTTAAGTTAGTGAGAACTTATAGAGAGAAGAGCAAGTGCTTGGGCTATCTCATCTGCAACAACTATGATGATGCTCGCCGGTACCTCAAGAACCCATGCTCGTTGACAATGGATCTTGGGATGACGCATACCACGAGTGAAGCAAGGCGTGAAAGGCTTATTCAGGGGACAAGGCTATTGCAAAAATGATGTCATCTTGATCTTGTTTATGGGCGTTGAGGCATCACTTAATTTCATGTGCCATATCGAAATTAGGCGATGGTGACACAATAGGCAGGCATTACCAGGTGATCCAATTTGATTATGTATTTTGGGTTACGTTTGTTGCCCTTCTCAAGGTTGTCAAACTACTTAATTCTACTCATCAGTTCTTAATTTGCTTCCATGATCCATCAAATCACCGGTCAATGTATGAGGATTAAATGGAGATCGCGAGGCCTATGTCTTTTGTTTGGTTTGAATTATCTTTATCTTGATGAATGATGAGTTTCTGTCACTTGTACACATGCTACCCACTGATCAGATCGACTGTTCAAAACTGTTTACCCTTCCCTTATTATGCCAGAAAGGCAAAGTGAGCCGAGCTACTTCGAACTTCTTCAAGCGGAACACAAGCGGCTTTGCAACACAGATGCAGGAGACAAAGAAGAGATTATAGAGGGAAAAATCCATCCTTTTTATTTCTAGTAGGTGCCCGAGGGACGTTGGCCCATGCTTGTGTTTTCATAATGGATTGTCACTCAATAATGGAATGTATGGTCCCAATAATTATACTCATTGTATGCCAATAATGATACCTTATGCCGGGGCCGGAGACGACGCCATTGCACCGAGGTCCGAGTCCGACTGGCCGAGGGTACGCCAGGTGGATACGGCGAGGGAACGACGACGCGGCGCTGACAGCTGCTGACTGCTGAGCGGGCAAGCTCTGATGGCAACCGTCGCCGCGGTGGTGACGGATGCTTCCGACGACGGCGATCTGGAAGCGGCGCAGGCGGCCATGCGCAGGGAAAATCGCCTACCCTCCCTCATCGACACCGCCGGACATATCTAAAACCTTACTTTTATATGTGCTTTGTGAATTGGATTTTATGTGCTATTAAATTACATGATAAATACTCAATCCATCATAAATTGTAAGACGTTTGACTTTTTTTACACCAAGTTTGACCACTCGTCTTATTCAAAAATTTGTGTAAAATATCACTTCTTTCGTCGTGGTTTGGTCTATTAATAAAAATTCTTCAAGAATGACTTAAATTTGACTATATTTGCACAAATTTTTTGAATAAGACGAGTGGTCAAACTTAGAGTCAAAAAAGTCAAACGTCTTACAATTTGGGATGGAGGGAGTATTACTTTTCAAATAAAAAATTTACAATTTTTTCCTCAATTTTTCTTGGAAAAATGTTTTGGGGCTAAACAACTTAGCCGAAGGGACGCACTGAAGTTCTTAATTTGTACACATTGGCCATGGCATTCCCACGTCCCTAACACTACATTATACACAACAACACAATATATACTTGTGATTACACAATATAATTTCTGCCACAAAACTGTTCATCACTGAACGGCTGACGCAAAACACACGGGAAATTCACCCTCATCCTCGTGTGCAGAGATCGATGACCTGCTCTCTTAAAAAAAGTAGCAGCGCCCAAAGAACTCTCTAGTAGCTAGATAAACGCACGCGTACAGGTTCGCTAGAAAATAAAGGCCATCTATAAAAATGCTGAAGATTTAAAAAGCACAAAAAAAACAAAGCAAAACATTGAGTATTATCATCATCAAAGACAGCTAGCTAGCTAGCCACGCCATGGCATTAGTCCCTAACACTTAGATCCACAACACAGTATAAATTCACAAATAATTTTGCCACAAAACTGTTTTGAACGGCTGACGCAAAACACACGGAAAATTCACCCTAATCCTCGTGTGCAGAGATCGATGACATGCTCTCTCAAAAAAGTAGCAGCACCCAAAGACCGCTCTCTTAAAAAAGTAGCAGCGCCCAAAGAACTCTCTAGTAGCTAGATAAACTTCCGACGTGGTGGTACAAACGCTTTTCAACCGGCCGTGTCCACGCGCGCGTACAGGTTCGCTAGAAAATAAAGGCCATCTATAAAAATGCTGAAGATTTAAAAAGCACAAAAAAAAAACTAAGCAAAACATTGAGTATTATCATCATCAAAGACAGCTAGCCACGCCAGGTTAAGGCAGCACACAGAGTGCTGTATAGTGCAGGCAGCCGAATATAAAACCGCTCCGATCCGATCAAATAAAATCGATCAAAGACTCAAACCCGAGAGCGGGGACGGGACGGGACGAGACGAGGAGGAAATAAAGCCACTTTGGCCAACTGATGATTTCCTGGCCAAAACGACACACAAAGCCTGCAGGCCTTCTTCCACAAGGAACTGCCTGATGCCGAAACGCATGCAGGTGCATCGACGGACGACGGCCGTGCTTTGCTTGCTTTATTCCTCTCGGACGGCGGATAGGATACGGTGTGTGACTGACGAGGCACCACGCACGCCTGCATACGGCACATCGCTGCACGCTCCAAACGTGACGCTCCGTCGTCTCTTCCGATCATCCCCCGCGTTATAAGCACCCTCTCCGCCCGCCCTCATCGTTATCCAGAAAAGAGCGCGGCGGCGGCCTAGCTCGCCGGCAGTAACCAGGTCGGATAAACCGATCCGTAACCTAGCTAGATATAGCTAGCCTGATAGACAAGATTGATAGATCAGCCGGCAGCCATGAATATGATCAGGTCGGTACGGCGCCGCTTCACCGTCGGCCACCTGGCCACGGCCACGGACCCCGCCACGCTGCGCCGCGCGGCCGCCGAGCTCCTCGCCACCGCCATCTTCGTCTTCGCCGCCGAGGGCGCCACGCTCACCCTCGGTACGCACCTACTACTACGTATAAAAGTTGCTGTGTGCCTGTTGTTGTCCGTCTCGTCACTCGTACGTCGTAACTGATCTCACGTGTGTGCCGGTGCCGCGCGCGCGCAGGGAGGATGCACGGCCATGACAAGGGCGTCGTGGGCGGTCTGGTGGCGGTGGCGCTCGCGCACGCCCTCGCGCTCGCGGCCGCCGTGGCGTGCGCCGCCAACACCTCCGGCGGCCACGTGAACCCGGCCGTCACCTTCGGCGCGCTGCTCGCCGGCCAGATCTGCCTCGTCCGCTCCCTCGTCTACTGGGCCGCACAGCTGCTCGGCGCCGTCGCCGCCGCGCTCGTGCTCAGGCTCGCCACCGGAGGCATGGTACGTGCTCGATCCGTCGTCGATAAACTGAAACAGCTAGCTAAAACGGTTGCCTTGTGCGAGCTGGACGACTAACGCGACAGACACATGTTTCGGTTGGTGCACGCGCGCGTTCACGCAGCATCTGCCGGAGTACGAGCTGGCGGGGGGCGTGAGCGGATGGCAAGCGGCGGTGCTGGAGGCGGCGATGGCGTTCGGACTCATGCACGCCTACTTCGCGACGGTGATGAACCAAACGCGGAGGGTCCACGCTGGAGCCGGGGCGGTGGTGGCGGCGCCGCTCGCCGTGGGGCTCCTGGCGGGCTCCAACGTGCTGGCCTGCGGCGCGCTGGAGGGCGCCGTGATGAACCCGGCGCTCGCGTTCGGGCCCGCGGTCGTGGGCTCCCGCCGCTGGGGCAACCACTGGGTGTACTGGACCGGGCCCATGGTCGGCGCCGGCCTCTCCGGCGTCGTCTACGAGCACCTCGTCGCCGGCCCGGCCGGCCGGCGGGGAGGAGGAGCCGTCGTGCGTAGAAGACTTCATGCGGGACGTCGTGCGCGTGCCCCACTCCTCTGAATCTTCTGAATAAAAAAGCAGCTTGCATGCGTGCTCAATGTCGTGATCAGTAGAATGTTCCGTGTACTCTTACCGTCTTATACTTATGTGTTGCTTTGCTTCAATAATCTCGCTTCTGCTTTGAGCGCTCGATCGATCGATATTTAAGAAATTTTTGTATTATTTTTTTTTATCTCAAACTATTTATTCAAGGAACTGGACAATGAAGATTTAAGATACTATGACTAAATCTCTTTTATGTGTATTGGGAAGTCGTTTCTCTACTAGTGACTAAATCTCTTTTATGTGTATTGTTAGCCATTTTTGTTCCTATAACAGGCCATTTAGTGATGATAATTTATATTTAACCTACATCTACGGACTGATTTAAGATACTATGATGTTGATGCTTTGGAAATGAAGATGTCATTTACTCATTTTTGTTCCTACAATAGGCCATTTAGGCTTTCAGGAATTAGTCTTAATTTGTGCTTATTTTCGGTCCATAATTTGTATACCATTCAATGCTCTTTTTTGGTGATGACACTTCAGTCATACAGAAGGGTTAGCAGATATATTCTTCTATATATATCATCTATATTGCTATGTTAGAGCTGTCAAATTCCTGTGTTTTCATATATATTATTTTGGTTTCATGCTAGCCAGGTCTTTTTTTTTTACCATCCTATTATAGTCTTGACAATTTTATATAGTAATGTCTTTGTCATGCTTGACACATTTACTTGAGCATGGTGCAGTCCTAGACACGCATAGGTAACTCAAGCCTTGTTTATTTTCTCCCCCTAAAGTTTACTTTTTATCCCATTAAATGTTCGGACACATGCATGTAATATTAAATATAGACTAAAAAATAACTAATTGCATAGTTTACGACTAATTTGCAAGACGAATCTTTTAAGCCTAATTAGTTCATGATTTGACAATGTAGTGCTACAGTAACACGTGTGCTAATGATGGGTTAATTAGGCTTAATACATTTATCTCGTGGATTACTGACGGATTATGTAATTTGTTTTTTTATTAGTATCCGAACACCCCACGCGACACCTCCACGTGACATCCAAAAAATTTACACCCTGAATTTAAACAATGACTCATTTCAGCACGGGTCATATCATTTCAGGCACATCTGCAATTGGAAGAGAGAGAGAACATGAATGTGAGTGCACTGAGTAGTGGACAGTTCAGCGAATATAGGCCCTGTTCGTTTTGCTGAAAAGCCATGGCTAAAAATATTGTTCGTTAATTTATTGCGAGAGAAAAATATTGTTCGTTCGCTGAAATAGTACGGTTCATGAGACAAGCGAACCGGGCCTATAGCCTTCGAGTACAAAGGGATTTGTAAAAAAATGCCTGGAATTTTTAATTAAGTGAGATTAGGTTAGTTACAAGTTCATATTTTAGCACAAAATTACAAATTTTAGCACAGTACAGTACACGTTTCATATAAAAATCAGACCATTCCCCCAAGCTTCGCCTTTTCTCATAGAGTAGTACTGAACAACAGGTAGAGTTGATTCCTGGAAGTGGAAAACTTGGAACCGCTTCCTAATAGTGTCGATGTTGTCGTCATCCCTTTCCTATCGACGACCAGAAAAACAAGGCCATGCCCTGTTCGCTGGTCTGAAATTTGGCTGAAAAATACTATTTTAATTTGTTTGTTGTGAGAGAAAAATACTGTTTGGCTGGTTTGGTGAACAGTAACTTGTGAGGGGGTCCAGCCCAGTCAGACCAGCGAACACCATCATAATCAAGCAACCGAAACAGAAGTAAGAATCTTGTGCTGAGAAATGACGAGCAAATAAAACCTGATTTCGGTTCAGAATGCGTCGCTCCAACTCTTCCTTTGGGCAGAACGAACTCAGAAAAAATTCATAGCGCTATTTCTACCGTAACAAAACCACACATACATATGTCTTATGTGCATTTGTGCCCTTTTTTAAACCAAAATAAATATATGCCGATAGATCAGAAGAGTCGGACATGAGAACCAAAAAGCAGGTTAGGTTTGTTGTGGTGGAACCTATCGACATAGCTTGGTTCGATTCTTTACTCAACACACATGCTCCTTTTTCAAAGTTATTCCTTTAGTGGTACATGAAACAACAATGTGCTTACCATGACTTTATCTCTCGGAGATCTTCGTAGAGGTAGGGTGAGTGTACATACCTGAGACTCTTTGCGTTTATACTATGTTTAAAAAAAAAATCCTTGCTCCCTACCTCATCTCAAGTTCTCAACTATCTATCTACTATAGCACTATTATTAAACATTGGAATGTGTGTGTATATTAGTATATGTGATATTAATGTTAGATGTTAGAATTGTCTAGTTTACAAGAATAAGAGATTAAAAATTTATAATTTTATTTAGACGTTATTACCCTTTGTTTGGTATCAGATTTAAGATAGCTACTAGTTTGTTTATCATATACATTACGTAAATCATAAACGAACTGAGTAGATACCCTTTGTCCAAATTAATATGTAGAATGCTTTTTTTTACTTGCGCCCAAATAATGTCGGCCTCAAGCTATATGTCTTTATTTTGTTGCATTTGTCTTGTCGTCAGTTAGGATAAACAGTCAGATACCGAACTTGACACCACCATATGTTGTGCTGTCATAAGTGTCAATACATTTTGACTTCACATTGAGTAATCCTTTTCTTCTATTGCAAGGGGAACGAAGCCTTCAGTAGGTAGATAGTCATCCCTTATTTATTTTTTATTGGCTTCATCTTGTTTTTCGTAATAATGGTGTGTGAGTGGGTAATAGCAGAATAGGTATAAAGGTATTTTGGGATATTTTTTTGCATAATGATAGTGGTGGGTAATTTTATCAACAAGCGTATGGGTATTTCCCCCAATTAATGTGGTAATTTGGAGGCCTTAAGAAGTAAAGTGAAGATTCCTTTTGTTGGCCAAATACTAGTATAATAGATAAGATGATGATATATATAGTCAAAACAAGTATTATAATTTTGAAAAGGAAACTTTGTTATTTGTGTTAAAAACCTAAAACGAGCCTTGACTACATGTCCATACATGCATAACATGGTGGAAAATGGTGGGTGGTGTGTACGTGATTTAGCTACTCCCTCCATCTGGATATGCATGCAATTTTAGAGTGGGAGGGTGTCTCAGAAAAAATGCAACTTTAAGGACGAGGCTATTATGAAGTAGCTAGTATGATCAACTCCATCCGTTCTCTCTCTCCCCCGCGCTCCACATTCATTGTCTCTCATGTCTCATGCACTCATCCCATTCATCTTCTCTGTCCTGCACTCCTTTGCGTGTGCGTGAAAAAAACTGTGACTGCGGACTTGTAGTGGATAGGAAGCTAGGGGCACATTTAGTACCTCCACTAACTTGTTCTCTAGTATTCTTGCTAACTTGTCTTCACAACCTAGACTTGCATTCTTTCGTGATGGAGGGAGTACTAGCTAGGTATGAATGCATGAGCGCGAAGTGTGAATGTGGCCCTATACCTTGTAGATACCATGCATGCGACGGAGCCAGCGGTGGGGTTGGGGGGCTCTAGCCCCCCCCCCCCTCCTGGTCATGTGGAGCCCCCCTAAGTCATTTCTTAAAATTTTATGCATATATGTATTAGGTAGGAAGAGCTAAGGTTAAGAGAAGATAAAAAATCCTCTATTTTTTTTGTTTAGCCCCTCCTAATTTTTTGTGTGGCTTCGTCCCTGCATACAGCTAGGTGTGAATGCATGAGTGTGAAGTGTGTGATAGACTATACTGTGTACCAGCAGCATGCATGTGAATATGTGATATGGATCGATGCATCAACAACCAGCTGCTGCAACCTGTGTACACGTCCCATGCAATGGAAAAAGTTTTTGCATTGCTGCTTGTTGGTTTCCGTCGGGAGACGAAACAGTGACAGATGACAGGTCTATTGAGAATTGAGATAGTGTGGGTCATGGTTCACCTCCTATCCAAATTTTGGCAAAGATGGATGAGCGCAGAGCACTATGTATATTTGCGTTGCACACGCACGCATGTTACTAGTTGGCAAATGCTGCGCGTACATATGGTGCATTGGTGCATGCATGGTAATATGTTGGATGTGCTTAGCTCCTGTACCTGCTCCAATCCGGCTACAATATACTTCCTCCGTGAAAAAACATGCGATTCTAACACAGTATCATGGTTTAATATCTCAAGTTTAATTAATTATAGATAAAAAATATAAATATTTATAATATCAAATAAATATCATTAGATTCATTACAAAATGTATTTTCTTAATAAATTAATTTGGAGTTATAAATGTGAATAATATTTACTAGAAATTTAGTCAAGCATATACTACTTTTATCAGCACGCAACCCATAGTTGCATGTTTTCTTGAGCAGAGGGAGTATTTCTTGGGAAGAAACTAAACTACTGATTGATTGATTAGATTAGATGAAAAGACATATATATACACCAAATTACAAAGACATGCATGCAAAGTAGTACAAGAAAAGCATGCAATTGGTCTCAATACGTACTACTGTACGTACTCTTTGCTTTGCCCTCTGCAAATTGAAGTGAATGGAGAGAGAGAGAGAAGATGAAAAGGGTAAATATGCTATCACAACGTACAAAAAGGTAAATGCATGCGTACGTACTTTTTTGCTTTGTTCTCTGCAACCAAGCATGCACGGGCGAACTTGCATTGTAATGCTAGCTCTGGCATGAATAAAGGAAGAGCTAGCAGCTGCAGGTAGAAAGTAATTAACAATCTACATAATGCAAAATAAGTAGTAAGGGATTTAGCAGGGACATGAGATATCAGGATTGCACTCTAGCTTGGAAGCCAAGCTAGGGAAAGTGATGGATCAGACATGCATGGCGTTCTCGTCGCACCGACGACGCGCGAACGCGTGTGCGTGGATCGAGCAGTGCAGTGCTGTGCTTCAACTCGAAGTCTTGAAGCATGCAGCAGCAGGTAGCGCATGTGAATATGTGTTGGATCGACATCGACGCATGCATGCAACAAC